ATGATGGCCGACAACAGCAACAATTAAAAAAATGATGGCCGACAACAGCAACAATTAGAAAGGAATGATGGCCGACAACAGCAACAATTAGAAAAAAAATAATGGCCGACACTACGTCATAGTGGAGCAATAAAAATGGCCGACTATTGACAATATGAATAAACTTAGAGCTAAAATCTTATTTAATTATATACATAAAAAAAATATGAGTGCTTTCAGCACAGGACAAAGTCCAACTCTTGCTGTCACTGATGTCAATGCTTTAAATATAAACAATTAGAATCAAAACGTTTTTCAAACAATTTTTAACACAGTGATTAAAAAAATTGTTCACAAAAGTGAATTTTGACCACTCGAAGCAATGGCGCCAACAATTTCGAGCTCACAGTGACTGATAGGGAGGAAGAACTAGTATTTCTCATTAAACTTACCTGATTTAAGAAGTACGACATCAAACATGCATCTTTCAGCTGTATTAATTGTCCACATTTTGGGGTCTTTATTTACAACATCCAATACATTTTTCGTGTATTTATGCCAGAGTTCATAAGACGAATTAAGTCCTAAACACTTATAAAGGTCATCAAGCAGGGTATAATCAATTATTGTGTCGTTTTCTTTGTCTTTAAGGGCAATCAATGTTATTGCAATAACAAAAATATCTTTACCAATTTCCTGATCATCGTTATTACATTTTTTCATAATTACTTTTATACATTTCGTTAATTCTCGTTGATATTTCACCTAACAAAGAAACCAAATTAAAATACAAAAGTTTTAAAAATTAATAAGTCCCTTACTTTTCGACTCTGACAAAATGTCTTGTCTGCTAATAATGTTGAAATTTCCTTTAGATGGGGTCTGATATGTTGTTGGGGTGCCCCTTCAATGAATCCTGTCAACACTATTAAATGACCATAATGGGGGCCATCTTCAATTGCTGGAAGGATAAGCTTCAACCATGCTTCAACAGGAACGAAAAGACCCATTAATTCACTTGCTTGAACAAGCTAAAACGTTAAAAAATATATTTACAAAACTTTTAAAAAGTATAAATTAAGTTGAAAAAAATTGTTTTGAGGGTAATAAAAATTTGTTTACATTCACAACGACTTTATCATCTTCGTCTCTAGCAGTGATATACATTGCAGGTAGAATAT